AGAAAACAGTAAAGTAAAAGTCCTAATTATGGTCTATTACATCCAGTAGGCAGTTACAAAAATATGAAAATAAAGTGCGAAAGGTAATAACACGCGTGAATTGTAAGTACGTCTAAAAATCCTAAGGTATAATAAAAAGATCTTTTTGTTTGTTTTCGTTTTATTTAAGAAAATGGTTTAAGTAAAAATTAGGTTAATTAACCTAAATCTAGACTTAAAGAAAAATAGAAATAATTAAAGACAATTGAAACTAATTAAAAGGAATTAATTCTATTCTTTTTTTGTATTTTTATTATGAAAAGAAAGAAATTAAAATGAATTAAATCCTAGGTCTAATTAATTTTAATTAAGAAAGGAGGTTAAAAAAATTAATTAATTAATTTACAAAATTAATTAAATTAAAAAACCTAAAACTATATTTTTTTTTTTTAATTATTTTTGTTGATTAAACAAATTTAAACAAATTTAAAAGAAATAAATAATAAAGATAAAACAAAAATATAAATGGGTCTGGGTAGTAAAGACAAAAATTGGAGGGTGTAAGTTCAAAAAACACTAGGCCCAAGTTTGATGAAGCCCAAGTTTCCAGTGGATCCAGTGAGGAGAGGTTTTGGGGGCGCATGGTGGTCTGTACGTTTGGGTGTATTGGATCTTGATGCATTGAGATCTCATGGTGAGGATTAGGAGATGTATGGTGCACGCGTGGGACATGTCAGCACTTGATCTACAAATGAAACGTTAAAAAAAACAAAATGCATGACTTGGGTATCACACCTAGGTCCTTCTCCCTTGCATACGTTCGCTTTACCACTGATCCACTTATTCATTCGTTCATTACAACATAGTAATAATATTATATTTGAAAATTGAAACAGAAATATATTTTAAAAAATAACGCGCGCTAATGGGGCATTTAAATGGACCAATCAGGACGCGTTGCCTTGCCACGCCAACCCTTGCCTGAGTCAAACAAATGGAGAGACGCCGGAGTCAAACTCCGGTCGTCTTCTCTGATCCACCAAAACCTGGATCCTGTAAAATCTTTAGTTTTAAGGCAAACTAAAGACCCCGTCCCACTTAAAATCACGCCCAAATCACGAATCTGGCCTTAGATTGGCCAGAAAACTCATGTATCCTGAGTTATGAACCAAAAACCCTAGCACGGTTTGAACATGGCATCTCACGATCTAGACGTCACACAATCCATGTAATGGTATTAACATGTTCTAATGATGCCCATAAACTTATACACACATATCAAAACATTCAACAATTCATAAAAATAAAGATTTGAGTTTGGGATTTTACCAAAACGGTGATAACTTGGTTGGCCGGTTTTAGGTAGCTTCAGACGTATATGAGAGATGATTTGGCCTTCTGGGAGCCTCAGGAGGAAGGCTTGACCCTTTGTTTGGATTGAAAAGGGCTGGAACCCTGGATGCAACTTTTGACAACTTTGTGAGATTTTGGGAATTTTCGTATGACTTCTTCAGGCAAGGTGTGCGTGTCCAATGCTTGTAGCAATGTTGTATATTTATAGGAGATAGAGGAGGCAAGGAGATAAGGAAAGAATCATGGCATTAAGGCTATGTTTTAAAGCCATGATCACATATTTAAAAAAATGCCATAAGTGAAGATTCTTGCCATGTTGAGACTTGAGTGAACCTGGACATGTTTTGCACGAAATATGGGCCTCAAAGCTGACCCAACACACTAGCCCGCATGTCCAAAACATTAACCTATTATTTTATGCATTTATTTTGTATTTATTTAATTTTAAATTAAACAAAAATAAAAATAAATGCAAATAAAACAAAGGCACACAAAAATGGATTTAGAGGTCCTTCATAAGGTCATGAGAGTGTTTGAACCTCAAAAAGTTAGGCCATTGACCCAAAAGTTCAAATTTTCCCAATGCACAAGCTTTGAATTTTCTCAATTTTTCCCAACTTGGGAAAGCCATAACTTGCTCAAGTGATCTTGGAATTTTTGGAAATTCCAAGATTTCCTCTACAAACTCTATGTTTACCATTTTTGCATTTGGAAAAATTATCTTGATGTAAAAGGTCTTGGAAAAAAGTGTCTTTTATTGACTTTCTGAAAATGACTTGTAATGTATGAGCTTGTATCTTTCAAATGGTGCATTTATTTAACTTGAGGATAAAAGAGAAGTTGTATGGAATTGGATTCTCTTAAAGAAAATCTTTGGTTGGAGAAAAATGGATGAAGCATATGAATGTTATGCATGGTCAAAGTTCAGTTGATTTTTCCTATAGAAACCCTAATTTTGCAATTCTTGACTTTTGATGAATTAAGGGCATTTCTTGAGGAATCATGATCAACCCTTGATCAAATTATGGATATTACTTTAAAATGTTGATGTTGACCAAAAATCTTGAAGTTTGACTGTATATGGGTCACAGTTGACTTTTGACCTAGTATAGTTGATTTTCAAACATTTAAGCAATTGACTGAGCAAACTTGTAGTGTAAGGCATGAAATTTGACATGGAAAATCTTGAAGACATATTAAGACCATGGAAAACATTTGAGACCTTTGGAGCTTACCCATCTTGGTGAAAATTGAAACCCTATTTGAAAGGACATTGCTTAGGAGGAGAATTTTTCTAATCAATTCTTTGGTCAACCTTGAGCAATTGAGGACCTCAATGAGCATGTCTTGAGTAAAAATGGGAGGGAAAATTTTGGGGTACAACAAGTTGTAATTTATTGTTGATATAGAGAAAAAAACCTACTTGTGTTGCTTTTGGGAGCTAGTTGGCATACCTTGCAGTCATGTTGTGGCATCCATGCAATATCAAAATTTAGATCCTAAATTATAGGTTGATGATTGTTACAAAAGGGATGCTTATAAGTTGTATTGTGAAAGCAATGTAAGCGTAATCAATGGGATGGACATGTGTGAAAGTTGAAGATATGTTGCCCCTAATGTATAAGAAGGGATCTGATAGGTCAAAAAAATTAAGGTGGATGAAGCATGATGAAGTTGGCTCAAGGATGAGAAGGCTTGGTGTGGCATATAAGTGCACAAAATATGCTAAACTTGGGCATAATTCCAAGAAATATCAAAGCACGATGCAAGACAACAATGCATTGAAGAGAAATGTAAAAGTTATGGTTATCATTGTTGGTTGATTTCTGAAATATATGTCTTGGTTATAATTGTATTTTTGGTTGTATGTGTGCAGAGAAAAACACCTAGAACCAAGGGTGGAACATCAAAAACTAAGAAACTGAGGCTGAGACACCTGCTACTGAAGATCCTTACAATGATCCAGAGATAGATGCTATAATTGAGGAATTGGTTGCCACTTATGATCAACCTGGTTAGGATGTTCAACCATCACAGGTTACTCAAGTCACTCAACCAGAGGCTAATCATAATGTTTAGACATCACAGGTTACTCAAGTCGATCAAGCAGAAGCTAAACAGGATGTTCAACACTCATAAGTGATAGATCCATCACCAAATAAGAAACATGCTAGCAAGTTATACCTGGTTGGCAAGAAGAAGAAACCACATGCACCAAAATAATCTAGGAGTAGTGGCAGGCTGAAGACAATCTTCAGGCAACAGAAAAGCAATGGACCAGGATCAACACCTGAAGCACCATTGAAAATTGAGGACCCTGGTACTGATACTGATGTCCATGCACAATTGGAAGTTGATGTCCCTACTACTACGGCTCAAACAAACCCTAAGTCGGGAACTTGTGTGCGCACGATGAAATCATGGGAAGAAATATCTAAGCAGTTGTCTCAGTAATATGAAGTTTAATGTCATTTTGGTACTATCAACCTGTCTTGGAAGTTTAATGTCATTTTGAAAGTTTGTTTTATGTATTGTCTTCTGTTTTGTTCTAATGTCATTTTGGTACTTGTAATGTCATTTTGGAGACTATGTATTTTGTAACAACTAGTATGATATTATGCCTTTATTTATCAATGACACCTTATGTATTTTGTAACAACTATTGTCATTTGTTTTATTGTAATGCTATGACATTATGCCTTTATAAAAACTACTACATAACAAACAGTTATAATTCAGAAAACTACTACTAATCAAACATTTATAATTCATAATTCATATTCAAATCAACTACTCATTCATTTCAAATCAAACATTTTGTTACAATACAACAACATTACAATTGAATTATGACAAAGTAAACCCAGGAACATATAAGTACTACAACTAGAAAAATAAATTTATTCCTTGTGTTCTCCAACTTGTTCTTCAAATCTTCCATCTCTTTGGAACTAATTTTCGATCCAAATTCTCTTCCAAATTCCTTCCCGAAATCTCACTCAAATTTTCTCAAATACCCAATCATGCCATCACATCGATTGCATCCATTGTCGTCTTCTGCAAATCGTTTCCTATCAATTGAGCAAAAGTATTTATCATCCTGATAAAATTTATAACAATCTTCTTCTTTCCCCCAATATTTACACTTCCAATATTTTCTCCCTGAATTTGCAGCAAATTTAGAAAAAAAAACCTTCGTTGACATTTTGTGTCCATATTTTTGAGCTATTCTAACATTAGATGACATGTTATTCTGTGAACTTTCAGCCATTACAATAAGAAAGGAGATGGAAAAGATAGCGAATAGAGTTTGAAGAAGGAAAATGGTGGAGAAATGGAGTTTGAAAAAGGGAGAAGAACACGATGACAAAACAATCTCAAATTAGGATTCACATTAACTTAACTCTTAAAATGAAGTGACTAATCTAATTTTGTAGAATAGAAGGACGATATAGTGATCGCATCGATAATCGAATTTAGATAGTACACGTAGGATTCGTCTTAAGTAAAATTCTTTTTCAGTAGAACCAAAACCATTCGTGTGTAGTAAAAGTGATTTCCCACTAGAGTATAAACGATTCGTCCTTAAAGCTGAATTCAGCCGAGTACCTGTTTAATACAATACAACGTTTCACTCACTCTTGATTCATACATTTTTGCTTCTGATCATGATGGGGTTTAAGCGATTCAACTTGATCTCTGCACTATTTGCACTCTTTCTGATGAAACTCAACGCCTCAATTCATCACTACAACAAAGAACCTTTCACTCACCGTTCCAACGCCTTCTTCTTCCACGCCGCCACCGAAGCTATCTTCTCCTCTTCTTCATCTTTCATCAGGTATTCCAATTTCACTCACTATTAGGCTTAGGCTTAGGCTTAGGCTTAGGAGTAGGGTTAGGGTTAGGGTTAGGGTTTGGGTTTAGGGTTTCATTCATTTCAATTCAATTCAGGTTCGAAACGGTGTCGTTCACCAGACCCAGAGAATCTGCCCTCACCTATGGCCAAATGCAAACCCACACTGGTCTTGTTGAAGCCATTATTCTTGAAGTCAAAGACAGAAACAGAATCGGTGGATTCTATTTTAATCCCAAATCTGATTTGATTTGTTGTACTCCTGATCTTGCTAAACTACATAACTGTAATGTTGGTGAAGTTATCATTCAGAATAATCCTGATAACCCCGAGTTCCCGAAGCGGATCAAAACGTTCTTCCGAGGAGTCTATGAAGTTGCTAACATGGATCCTCAAACTGTTGAAATCAATGCTACTGGGATGTATTATCTGTACTTCATGTTTTGTGATCCTAACCTGAAAGGGACCACTGTTACTGGAAAAACTGTGTGGAGAAACCCTAATGGTTATCTTCCTGGGAAAATGGCACCTCTTATGACGCTTTACGGGTTCATGTCTTTGGCTTATCTGTTACTTGGTCTTTTATGGTTTTTGAGGTTTCTTCAGTTTTGGAAAGAGAAGGATGTTGTTCATGTGCATCTTCACTACCATATCACTGCTGTTATTGCTCTTGGGATGTGTGAGATGGCTTTATGGTATTTTGAGTATGCCAATTTCAATGTTACTGGTACTAGGCCTATGGGAATTACCATATGGGCTGTTACTTTTACCTCTGTTAAGAAGACACTTTCGAGGCTGCTTCTGCTTGTTGTATCTATGGGATATGGTGTTGTTCGTCCTACTCTTGGTGCGCAGGGGGTTCTTCATAGAGTTGTGCTTCTTGGGGTGATGTACTTTATTTCATGTGAAGCGTTTGAGCTTGTTGAGCATTTGGGGAACATCAATGACTTCTCTGGGAAATCTAAGTTGCTGTTGGTACTCCCTGTTCTTTGCCTTGACTCCTGCTTCATTCTCTGGATCTTCTCTTCCTTGTCTAAAACCTTGGAGAAACTGCAGGTAATTACCAATTTCACTTCCTTTCCATATTCTTCAGTGCTGTTTTTATGATTGTAATAATAATCTCTGGTTGGTTGTGTTTCTGTTTTGGGGGAAGAAATAGTTGTTTACTAAGATTTATGGTTTATATAATGTGGAATATGAGCATTTTATGGACCCTGTTGAAAATACGAAAATATGAGTTAGGCATACCATTTCTACTTTATTCTCATTTTCTATTTGTTTTTGGGTGTAGACAAGGAGAAACTTGGCTAAGCTGGAGATATACCGAAAATTTACAAATACCCTTGCAGTGTGTGTGCTACTGTCAATTGCATGGATTGGCTTTGAGGTAGTTTTTACAAAAGATATTTGATGCATTGGAATAAACAATTTTAGAGATGCAACTGATTTTCATTTAAGCATTTTTAAATAAAATTAATTAGAGATAATATTGTTAATGATCATTTGTTATTGTGTTTAACCAGCTGTACTTCAATGCAACTGATCCTTTAAGTGAGCTGTGGCAAATTGCTTGGATTATTCCCGCTTTGTGGTCCCTGCTTTCATATACTCTCTTGCTGGTGATATGTGTCCTTTGGGCTCCTTCTCGTAACCCTACCAGGTAAGTCCTTCTCTAGGATCTTCATGAATGGTGTTATTAAAAGAGTTATCGGGTTTTTTTTATGCTAATATTATATAAAATTTTAGTCTGAATGTCAATCCACTGCTAGTTATATTAGTTGTAATAACGTGTAATAGCAAAATTTGTTCTGAATTTACCTTTTCATAATTTTCTTTTCATTTCATTGGGAACCTGTAATCTGTACTGCACTGTTTAGTGGTTATGTGATCTTGTGTATTCTAGAAACTTAGATGTACTAGTACAGGTTTTTTTTTACTAGCCAGTTTCTATTAGACATCTTTATAACTTTCTTTCCTATTCAATAATTGTTACTTCTTACACTCTGGCTTGGTGAGTTTCTATTGCATTGATCAATAGGCTCATTACCAGAAAATCAAGGAGTAATACAGACTTCCTTCTTACCAAATTCTTTATTTCTAGTTAGCTGGGCCTTTCATGCCCCTTTCGAGTCCAATTGTCAACAAATACCTTTTACAAAAGTTGTCATTTAATCCATGAAAGTGATGAAAAATGCTTTGATTGCTGTTGTACTAGTCTCTAGCCTCTGGTGAATCTTGAGAGTTTCAGAATAGGTATTTGTTGCCAATTGAACCCAAAAGCGACATGGAAAAACTCTACTCTAGGGAAATTACCTTTGGAATAATCCCTGTTTTTAACTCTATCATTTCATTCATGTCACTTTCTTTCTAATGTTCCAGATGCACTGGGATTGAATATTATATCCCAGTATTTGTTTTGCTGGTGTGTACCTATAAAGACTGATTGCACTTATATATTTTATTTCTAGATATGCATACTTAGAGGGAACAGATGACATTGATGAGGAAGGTATATCTCTAACAAGCAGCATTGCAAAGATGAGTGGGGATGTGACAGCCAATCTTGAGCGGAAAGAAAGGAAAGGTTCTAGTGCCACAAATCTTACAATTGCAGAAGATATTGAGGAGGATAAACGAGAATAATGTCGCTCATATTTGTATAGTAGTGTTTCATATGTCACCGTCTCTTACAAGAGGTTTGTAAATATTCATATATACAAATAGTCTGTTGTGCGGATGGTTTCAGTTAGTAATGGAGAAACAGAGACGCAGGCATAATTGCAAATGATACATGTATCACGTAGGAACAAAACTCTCCATAACATTTTAACGTATGTTATGATAAAATTATCCCCCTGCTTAGTTTTAGATGATTATCATCCTCATTTATATGCCTTCTAATTTTAATCCCCTTTTGTTTGGGCCTTATCTGTAATTAGCAATCAGTGTTAAAATTACAGGTTTGAGTGAAATATCCTTATCACTATGGAAATACTTACTATATAATAAGCACAGAAATGGATTGTTTAATCATCATCATCTTGATATTGGTGAATATGAATGATCACTATTCAGGTGGTGGAGACAGTCCATATGACGATTCATGTTGTTACTGTCTCTCTCGCTTTCATTTTTTCTTCAATCCTTCCTCATCCTTAGAAAGAAAAAGGTTGAGTCACCGTCTTTGAATATTCTGATCTCATTAGTTAACTCTAACTGATGTTTGGGATTTGTGGGATTTCTATGAGCATAGTTTTCATTGGCATCTAAAAGACATGTTGTTTTACAAATTTCGCATCATTTTATTAATAAGTTGAATTTACCCAATAATCTCTTCTGATTTCTTTAAAACTTTTTCATCATCTCTTCTTTTGCTAGGATTATAGATTTGTAAAAAATGTCTATAGAAGCTTTATCTTCACTATCAACAATATGCAATAAATATAAAAGTGGTTTGATGAGTTTCATTATCTAAACACATTTACTCAAAAATCTAGAATCAAAGATTGGATCCACACATTTGTTTTGTCTTGCATCTTTGGCAAACACTGAGCTTGTCTATTTTTTTTTTAGATGTTACCATAACCCTTGATGTCATTTTATGAGCTAAGATACTCTATAAAGCAATGCAATTAGTGACAAACCAAAATAGATTAAGTGTATGTTTGGTTTCAATTCTAACAAGGCTAAAAGCACTTCTAGAGTGTAGAATTGATTCTATAATGATTTTATCATGTTTGGTTATGTTAAAGTAAAATTGTTTTACCTTTAGAATTGATTCTACTTGAAGTTAGAATTTATAGCTTCTACCTCTAGAATTAATTATGGATAATTTTTACACAAAAATTTATTGTTCAATTTACTTTTACATAAATGTATTCAAACATAAATTAATTATGTTAAATTCAATTCTTGTTAAAACCAATTCTACCAAATTCAATTCTATTAGAATTAATTATTTCCATCGTCAATCCAAACACAAACAATTTAGAAAACTCATTTTCTGACAACCTTTCACCAACAACATGATTTGAACAAATAGGCCAAAACAATTTAGAAAACTCATTTCCTAACCACCTTTCAGCATAATTTGCAGGCCTCGCGGACAAGACACCACCTTAAAAAGCTTATACAATATCGTTCGAATCTTCGATATTTCACTTATTCAATTTAAAAATGAATTTTAGTCACTAGACTACACTATATTAAAAAAATGAAAGTGCAATAAAAAAATTTATAAGAGTTTTTTTTTTTTATCGGTCAATTAATCATTCACAAAAGTGCAATCAATTTTCTTTCTTTCAGTTCTCACATTACTTCTCCATCAATTTGTTTACATCTTCATCTGTTCATTTAACAAATAACCGCAAAAGCTATATATAATCTTAATAAAAAAAAAATTAGGACGGAAAGTTATTATTATATAGATTATAGATTATGTTTATAAAATTTTATATTAATACAATAATTTAATATAAAATTTAATAGCAATAAAGTTATTTTAATTTAAATGCATAAAATTTAATACGTGCTCAATCACATTGGAAACCCACTAAATATCTATGATGAATTTCTACATAATGACAATGAATTATGAGAATGAAAAGAAAAGAAAGAAGACAATTATTTTTCTGTAGAGTTTTTCTTTATTCACAAACTGTGGAAAACTTTGTTATTCATTTGCAAGTGCAAATTCTGTGAATACAATTTAGTTGATTTAATTACAAAATAGGGATTACTCCCTCTATTTATATATTTAGCTTGCACCATAAGCCTAAAACTATAAAAGCCCAAAATATCTATTTTGGTACTAAATCAAATCTATTCTATTTTAGATCTAAATCAAATCTATTTAAATCTAAAACAAATCTAATCTTTTCGATACTATGGATTACAATTTAACACACCACATAATTCATTATGTCTAAACTATCTATATTCATCATGGTTCTTAATTTTTTGAATACTTTGACTTGTACTCCTTTTGTCATGATGTCTGCAATCTGATTCTCAGTTCTGCAATGTTCCAAATTTATCTTCATATCTGCTACCTGCTCTCGAAGATAATGAAACCTCATTTCGATGTGCTTACTTCGACCATATACTATCGGGTTCTTCGCCAGATTGATAGCTGACATGCTGTCGATCTTCATGGTAATTGCTCCATGATCTTTCCCTGTTATCTCTTCGACCAAGTTCACCATCCAAGTTGCTTGACATGCACAAAGAGAAGCAGCTATGTATTCTGCTTCGCATGATAATAATGCCATTATTGGTTTCTTTCTTGAATTCCAAGCAACTGGTGTACCACCTAGCATAAACACATATCCTGCTGTTGATTTTCAATCTTCAGCATCACTACACCAACTCGAATCAGTGTATTCCATTAACTTGCATTCTTTTCCTTTATCAGCTGCATGAAACAAAATGTCATAGTCAAGAGTTCCTTTGAGATACCTCAGTATCCTCTTCATTACTGCTAGATGTGATACCTTTGACTTCTACATGAATCTACTTACCATACCTACACTATATGCTAAGTCAGACCTTGTATGACAAAGGTATCTCAATGATCCAATAAGTCTTATGTATTAGGTTGGATCAACATCATCTTCATCTGCATCTTTCGACAGTTGCAGTCTTGGTTCTGCAGGTGTCGAAGTTGAGTTGCATTCTTCCATCTCAAACCTCTTGAGAATCTCTCCTGCATATCTTCTTTGATGCATCATCAAACCCCTACTGCTCTTGTAGAATTCGATGCCAAGGAAATATGAAATCTCACCATATCATATATTTCGAATTCCTTGCTGAAATCACCTTTGAAGTTTTCGATCTCACTTTTGCAGCTACCTGTTATCAACAAATCATCTACATAGAGACATAGTATAAGCAATTCACTATTGTTTCAATCCATACATGACTTTATGCAGTCTGTACACCTTTCTTTCTTTGTCATGTTTCACAAACTCAACTGGTTGTTTAACATAGACTTCTTCGTCTAAGGGTCCATTTAAGAATGCACACTTCACGTCCATCTGATATATGTGCCAACTGTTTATTTCTGCTAGACCAACAACCAACCTGATTGTTTCGATCTTAGCAACAGGCGCAAAAACCTCATCAAAGTTTATTCCTTCTTTCTGTAGAAATCCTTTTGCCATAAGACTTGCTTTGTGTCGAGTTACTTCCCCTTTCGAATTCATTTTCATTTTGTATACCCACTTGACATCAATTGCCTTCTTGCCTTGAGGCAATTTGACAAGTGACCAAGTGTTGTTGTCTTTGATAGACTTCACTTCTTCGCTATTGCTTTTACCCACTTTGAATCCTTCAATGCTTCAGCTGCATTGACAGGTTTGACATGTGCATAGAAAGCATAATGTACCAACTCACCTTCATTATCTATTACATCATCTTATGTAATCACACAATCTTGCAATCTTGCAGGCATGCGTCTTGTTCTTTGAGGTCTGCTTGTACTTGATATATCTGCTGGTTCCTCTTGTCGAACTTCTCTTTCGACTTGAGTTTCTGGTTCTTCAAGTAGGATTCCCACTGAATCTTTCTTGACATTTTCAGTCCAATGTCATTCTTTAAACTCATCTAAAATTGCGTCCTTGTTGATCACAATCTTCTTGTTCTCTGGATCGAACAACTTGTAACCTCCTGTCGAATGATATCCAACTAGAATAATTTGACTTGACTTGTCATCAAGTTTTCTTCTCGACTGATCTGGCACATGTATATGTGTAATAGATCCAAATACCTTCAGATGACTCAAGCTAGGCTTCACACCAGTCCAACATTCTTCTGGAGTAATTCCTTCTAGATTCTTTGTAGGACATCTGTTCAAAATGTATGTTGCAGTCGAAACAGCTTCACCCCAAAACTCTTTAGGTAAATTCTTGCGTTTCAACATACTTCGTACCATATTCATGATGGTTCAATTCTTCCTTTCTACAATTCTATTTTGTTGTGGAGCATAGGGTGGTACCACCTCATGAACAATCTCTTCCTTTTCACATAGTCTGTCGAAGTCTTTCGACACATATTCTCCACCACCATCAGTTCTTAAAACTTTGAGTTTTCGACCATTTTGTCTTTCGACCATAGACTTAAACTTGGCAAATACTTCGATCACTTCACTTTTCTTCTTGATCAGATGAGTCCACAGCTTTCGACTGAAGTCATCTATGAATGTAACAAAGTATTTGTTACCTCCCATCGAATCCACCTGGATTGGTCTACATACATCAGAGTATATGACTTCAAGAGTAGCCTTCGACCGGCTTCCTGCATCCTTTCTGAAACTATTTTTGTGTTGCTTCGCCTGCACACATTCCTCACATACCTCGTTTGGAATTTTGATTTCTAGCAATCCTGAAACCATATTTCTTCTCTTCAAATTTATGATGTCCCTGAAGTTGAGATGGCCTAGTCTATAATACCATATTCATTCATCTCTGCTAGCTGCAGTCGAAAGGAACTTATGCTCCATCACATTAGTTCGATCTTGAAGGTTCGATTCTGAGACATAGGAGCCTTCAAGATTAATCTTCTATTTGCATCGACGGCTCTCATCATCTTATCTTCGATTGACACTTTATAATTCTTTTCGACCAACTGTCCTATACTGAGAAAAT